GCTTCAAATCCTCTTGCTTCAGAGGTAGAGGTAGGCCTGATGCCACCTGTTGTAATTATTATAACCATAATAATAATTATAATAATTATTATAATGATCATCATCATGTATCTATCTATCTATTTCTTTATTCATCCTACCCATCCAATCCATCCATCCATCCGTCTATCTATTTATCTATTCATATATTCGTTCATTCATCCATTTATTCATCTATCTATCCATAATTAAAATAATTATTATTATTGTTATTGTTGCTGTTGTTGTTGTTGCTGTTATCACCACCATCACCACCACCTCACCATAATCTGCCATTGGACAAGATCAGTCCCCGTGACCATCTCAGTGACCGGATGTTCAACTTGTAATCTGATGGTGACGGTGATGATGGTAGTGCTGATGATGATGATGACAATGGTGATGATGATGGTGGTGATGGTGATGATGATGGTATTGGTGATATCAATGAATAAACGAATGAATGAATGAATGAATGAATGAATGAATGATGAATGAATCAATGAATGAATGATGAACCTCGTGTTCATCTCCATGAAATAAAAATTTTCTTCACGATCCATAATGAACTCCACAGTTCCTTGAGATGGTGGTCATGATGGAGAAAGTGAAATCATCATCCTCATCATCATCGCAATCGTAATCATCATCATCACAAAAATCATCATCACCATCAACACAACAATCATCATCATCATCAACATCGTCCTCCTTGCCATCATCATCACCATCATCATCTCACCAGCTCCAACGTATTTAACAGCCCTGGCAGCTCTGCAAGCAGCTTCACCGAGTCGCTTGCGGGTCGCTTCTGATATGTGTGGCTGTCGATTGTGTGAATGAATGAATGAATGAATGAATAAAAAAATAAATGAATTAATGGATGAATGAACAAACAAACGAACCGACCAATTAATCAATCAGCCCTCAACAAGTAAACCAATCAAATTAACCGGCCAACCGACCACTCAACCAGCCAGCCAATCAAATTAACCGGCCAGCCACCCACTCAACCAGCCAGCCAATCAACTGACAGCAGGAGCTTCCTCGATGACCTTCTGATGCCTCCTCTGGACGCTGCAGTCCCTCTCGAACAGGTACACGTAGTTGTCGTGCATGTCGCCAAAGATCTGAACCTCAACGTGTCTGAGTGAGTGAAGGAGTGAAAGAGTGAAGGAGTGAGTGAGTGAAAGAGTGAGTGAAGAAGTGAAGGAGTGAGTGAAGGAGTGAGTGAGTGAAAGAGTGAAAGAGTGAGTGAAAGAGTGAGTGAAGAAATGAGGGAGTGAGTGAAGGAATGAGTGAGAAAACGTAAATAAGTGATTAAATGAGTGAGTCAGTGAGAAAATTAAAAAGAAAGTAAATAAAGGAAAAAATGTAAATAAGTGAATGAATGAATAAATAAATAAATGAGTGAGCCAATAAACCACCATCATCATCATGATAACCACCACCATCATCATCATGATAACCACCACCACCACCACCAGCAGCCTCATCATCGTCATCATCATCATCACCTCGGACACTGGACATATTTTTCAATGAGAACAACGGTGTCTTTGTAGGCTTTGTAGGCCTCGTTTCGGGCAGATTCAAGTTGGGGCAAGAACTCTTGACCGTTCAGGGCTATCCTCATGCCCTTAAGAAGGTGAAGGTCACCAGTGATGATGATGATGTTGTTGATGATGATGATGGTGAAAAAGTGGTGATGAAAATGTTGATGAAGTGATGATGATGACGAAGACGACGAAAAAAAGTGATGACGATGATAATGTGTGTGATTCAAAGTGCCGTGATAAAAATATGATGAAGAAGATGATGATGAAAAAAAAGATGATGATGATAATAATGAAATAAAGACGCTAAGACAATCGTCACCTTCTTCTATCATCATCATCATCACCATCATAACCATCATAATCATCATCATTATCACCACCATAACCATCATCATCAAAACTCACCTTTCCTCCGCCACCTCTGACAGCTTTGATCATGACAGGGAACCCGATTCGCTCCGCCTCCTTCAACAATCTCTCCTCTGATTGGTCGTCACCGTGGTACCCTTCGATGATTGGCACTCCAGCCGATGACATGATGTGCTTTGACGTGCTGTGATGACGATAACGATGGTGATGACGACGATAAACGCAATTAAAATGATAATAAAAATTACGTAATAATAAAAATTTAACTAAACCAAAACATTAGAAAATTAGAAAAATGTATTGTAATTAGGGATGCACCGAAGTTCGGCCCCGGCCCCGGCTCCGCCCAAAATCCGGCTTTTTTTTCAAATCCGGCCGGGTTTGGTGGCCGGATTTAAGCGTCTGTCGACATTTAAAAATGTTATAAATAGAAAAAAAACTTTTATTGAATTCAATTAATTTTATGTCAATAAGTTAAAAGCTAAGCAAACATGACACATAATAACAACATCACAAATTGTTAAATGAGCTGGACAATTTTCTTTGTGCTATAACATGGATTATGCATAAATTATGAGCTGATATTTGTGTAAAAGAACTTGTGCACGTGTTTATACTATATAATTGTATATGAAGGATCATATAGCTACATAATATATATATATATATATATAGCTACATAATATATATATATATTTTTACATTTTTAATTATATTAATTATATATTTTTACATTTTTAATTATATTTTTCGAGAAAAATAGAAAAAACGAACTACAAACATATTAACGCCAAACATTCGGTAGAATTTAGAGAATATTGTAAAAATTATAGTCTATTACCAACATATATATATATAGATACATAAGCGCATAATTTAAGAACATGGCATGTTAAAGGTTAGGCTAGGCATACATGACACATAATAACAACATCACTAACTGTGAGTTGAGCTGGACAATTTTCTTTGTGCTATAACATGGATTATGCATACATTATAAGCTGATCTTTGTGTACAGAATTTGGCGTATCACACAGCTTATTCATATATTTGAATTAATTAACTATTTGCTTGGTGTTATTTTTTGATGTTCAACATGTAGATAACCGTAAATGTGAGTATTTTTTCTAACGTATGTAAAATGGTAACTTAAATCCGGCCCCGGCCGGTTTTTGAATTTTAAATCCGGCCAAGTCCGGTCCCGGTCGAATTTGAAAAACCTGAATCCGGTGCATCCCTAATTGTAATAACGATTAAAATATCCATCAACTAACAATTCACCAATCAATTCGTCATTCATTCATTCACTGTACAGACCTCTCTTCAAAACCAACCCACCCACCCACCTCTTGATACCCATATCTCTGATGGCAGAAGAGGGAGGTCCAATAAAGATGAGGCCCTCTTTCTGGCAGAGTTCCGCAAATTCCATGCTCTCCGACAGGAAGCCATATCCTGGATGGATCGCCTGATTGGTTGAAGCAATGTCAATCATTCAAATAACCAATCAGCGACTAGATCAATCTTTCAACTAACCAATCAGCAACCAGGTTAATCATTCAATTAACGAATCAGCATTCCGATCATTAATATTGGTAATTCAACTAACCCATCGTTCACAAATTAATAAACCAATCAGAAAAGAGATCAATAAATCACCAATCAAAGCAACAAACCTGAGCCCCTGACCTTTTGGCAACTTGGATGACCTTGTCCATTTTCAGGTAGCTGTCGAGGGACGCTGCCCCACCAATGTGATACGCCTCATCTGCCTGGTGGGGGTGTTGATTAGTGGTGTTAGTCATGGTGGTAATGATGATAGGTCCGAGCAAAGACAATGGTGAAAAAGTAGTGATGAAAATGTTGATGAAGTGATGATGATGACATTCTGCATTAATTAAAGAAAATTGAGAAAATACCTCTTATAATTTGTTTATATAATAGATGACTTCCCAAAATATATTTGTAGATGTTTCTAAACAAATTTAAAAGTAAACCGAGAAAACAATCACACATCTCTATTACAGCAGAGCAATACAATTTATACAAAATTTACAATCTTTGCCATCAAAATTAGACCTTTCTAAAAAAGCGAACTACAAACCAAATTATCACCGAGACTAACTCCTATATGCAAAAAGTGAAACTAAATTACAATCAACAAAACGAACTTCCTGTACAAAAAGTGAACTTCTATCAGCATCACTGTACACAGCCACTGATTGGATGCCCATTTTGTGGGCGGTCCTCATAACCCGACATGCAATCTCGCTACGATTGGCTATCAAGATCTTGTCGATCGTTCGGATTGGTGGAGGAAGTAATGAAGATGGTGATGATGATAAAGAAGAAGAAGATGATGATGATGTAGAAAACGAAGATGAAGAAAAGTCAGATGGTTGAAATAACGATGACAGCAATGTGTGCTCTTTAGCTGCTGTATTAATTAAAGAAAATTATTAATATATTAATATATTATTCATACTGTTATTAAAATAATTATGAAAAATGTAATAAAAATGTAAAAAGTGTACAAAATGTCTACATTAACAAGAAATACCTATGAAAAAATGCTGACCTGAGTGAAGATATTTACAAGCAGATGGAAGGAGTGCATGGAATGAATGAGGTCTATTTGATGATGAGGCAAGTCTTCAGGATTATTAATATTAAATAAAAATTTAAGTTAAATAGTTCAAATTTAAAATAAATAATAGCAATAACAAATTAAAATTAATAAACAAAATAATCCACATCATACATTCAAACGCACAAAATTATAGCATAATTTTTGGAAAAGAATAATCTCAACAATAAAACTAACTCTCCAAAACTCTTAAATGTGTTGAATCGTCGGAATAGAGACATGTCAAAATATATTTATGGAGAAATTTGGACATAAAACGACACCACCTTCAGCATAACACAAAAAAATGACGAGCGGTAGGTTAGCAAATTTACACTAGTGTAGAGAAAATTTAGACTGGTGACCTATTTAAGGTTCATCACATCAATTTTCGGTCGCGACTCAAGATACCATCATGGATATATATCAAGTTTTAATGATGACCTTGAATGTTACTGACTCTTAATTTCAATCCATATAAACATAAAACTCTGTCATACGGATGTATTTTCATCATTTCAGACAAAGAAACTGACCTAAAACGTTAAAATAGGCCATTTCAAATTTGTTCGGAAATTTGTATTTTAAATTTTTACTTTGAATTTTTGTTTTTAACAAAATTTAGAATTCATTTCAGTCATAAATAAGACATTTTTCAGCTTAATTTTTGTTAAAAAATTCCCTGAACCGGCAATATTGTCAATAAATATGATAAATAATTGTGTGTGTGTGTGTGCGTGTGTGTGCCTGCGTTGATTTGTTTGAACCTTTGTTTTATCTGCAACACGTGGGCTGCATTCATGTGAGTGTATGTATGTGCGCGTGTGTGTCTATTTGTGTGTGTGTGTGCGCGTGGCTGTGTGTGTAAGTTTGTCGTTAATTTAGCATACTTCTTGTTGCATTGTTCTTAAATTTAAAAAAAAACCTCATCTTGCCACCTACAACCATTTCCATCCTACCCTACATTAAGAAACTTGATGTTCCTATAGAAATACATTGAAATGTATAATTCCTATAGAAATACATAAACATGAATAAAAATGAAGTTACTGTTGAATGAATTCATTAGCAGGCTGGACAAAGCAAATACACTTGTGGCATGTGTTAGTTATTTTTAGTACGACGTACGATTGGTCGGTTATTTTTAGTACGACTTACGATTGGTTAGTTATTGCTTGTACGAGTACTTAGTGCAAACTGGACAGCTACAAGGTTGCTGTATAAACAAATGTATGTTTACATGGAAGCTTCTTTGTCCTACAGATTTTTAGTATCTATATATATAGGGTTAACTTTGCGAATCAGTCTTTTCATTTCGATTCTAGGCAACGTCTTACGAGGTTAATACAAGAAGAGTTTAGAAGATTGGCGAAGATAGTAAAACACAATCATAGAACATAATCATAATGGAAGAGGTCTTCTTTGTTTGCAATTTGTATTAATTTATATCTACGATTACAAAACTTGTTCCTATGATGATTTATTGTTTTGTTTTTATTTTGTTTTTTTGCTGTTTTTATATAATTTATTATTACTATTTATTATTTTTATTATTTATTATGGCAAAAGTTTACATTCCGAACTACAATGTTAAAATTTGTTTACATTTATGATTGTTTACATCACTATCTCTAATAAAAAAGCGCCTCCCACTAATATGCAGAAAGTTGTTGACTCGGCGATGGACGTTGAAGAAATTGTGAGACAGATTGACAATGAAGACGAGTTGAAGAGAAGTCTCATCAGGGTTGACAAACTGATCGATGTCGAAAATGACGTGGGGAGGATGTTGTTGCTTCACAACAGAATTCACTGGACGATTGCTTGTTGAAAACAAATTCAAAACGAGATCAGTATTTAAAAGCCTTAACAAGAGATAATGTACAACTGCTTGTTAATAAACTCTGGGAGTTACCAACGGAGAGAGTCGATGAAGTTATAGTAGCAAAGTTGCCTGCCCCAGTTACAATTCTGCCACGAGAAAAACGGCTACCTACAGTTAAAAAAGAGACAAAATGGGAATCATTTGCAAAGTTGAAAGGAATTAACAAGAGGAAGAGGGGTCGGATGGTTTGGGATGAGGAGTTGAAAAAATGGATTCCTAGATGGGGTTATAAAAGCCAAGATGAAACGAAGGATTGGGCTATTGAGGTTCCAGATCAAGTTGATCCATTTGAAGACCAATTTGCCAAAAGGGTCAAGGCCAAGAAGGAGAGGGTGGCCAAAAATGAACTTCATAGGCTGACAAACATAGCCAGGAATTCCAAAGGAAAAATAAAAGCCATAGGCCTGATGCCAACGAAAATGCCAAACGACAGAAACGATCTGACAGTCCAGATGACTGCAGCCAGAAAGAGCACTGCCTCCATGGGAAAATTTGATCCAAAGATCAAAAATGATACAAATAAATCTTCCGGTAAAAAACGAAGCAACTTCAAAAATTAACAAGGAGAGAGTCGATGAAGTTATAGTAGCAAAGTTGCCTGCCCAAGTTACAATTCTGCCACGAGAAAAACGGCTACCTACTGCTCAAAAAGAGACAAAATGGGAATCATTTGCAAAGTTGTCGAATTTCAAATTGTCGGCTGCCAAGCCATTGGTTGATAAAAATAGAGCCGCCAATTTAGAAATTTCTGCCAAAGAAGCTAAAAAAGCCGCCAAGAGGATGGCAAGAGATGAAGACGATGAAGCATCCAATGGGGAGAGAGGAAAGAAATTCAATAAAGGTAAAAATAAAAATGGCGGCCGAGGTGGTGTTGATAATGATTACCATCGGGCTGCCGGCGGTATGAAGACGTCGAAGAAAACGCTGAAAAAAGTTAGAGGAACTTCGAAGCATAGTCTACATAAGAGACGGAAGGTGTAGATCGGAGATGGATGGATCTATTTTAATCTCAGTGCACTTTTCGAATTTCAGTAGGAGCTTATTTTACTCTCTATTAGTGAATGTAAACAAACGTTGTGGTTCTCGGCGTTGTTGGAGAATAAATTTAGGATTTTTAAGAACTCGGGATGAAACTTCTAATAGGTATTTAAAAAATTTTGTGTTTTTGGCCATTTTTATTACACTAAAACCCATGAATAGATTTCATTTTTTTAATTTTTCCTCCAGGTCGCTCATTTCATCTGCTGTTGAATCCGAATGATTCAATTCAAAGGCTGATATGTACGTACACTTCTACCTAGCTGGAATCATGTTCGATATCTTATGCGAAGTATTTGATTTCAATAGATAATTTATTTATTTAAAAATTTGATAAATAGTTCATTGTTTAATTTCAATAAGTCTTAATGACGTTAATGCAAACATAAAGATGAGTTAACCAGCACAAATTTGAAGTTTGATTGAAATGTTTCTGTTATTTGCATGCAACATTTTTCAACATTTATAAAAAAATTTTTCAGGGGAGACTCCATTTTCATATCCTTGGTACAAAAGCTCATAAACTTGTAGACGGATAACGGAAACACGAAGAAATAAAACACCCAAGCGAGATGGAAGAGATAATATTGATACGTGAAGCTGATATAGAAGGTACAAATGATAAACGTTTCCGGAATGTTCCAGAAGATGATGTTCCACCTAACCAAAGAGATTCGTAATGCATGAACCGATAATACAAAAAATTCAGACAATACAAAATTTTTGTAAGAAAATTGAAGCGAGCAGTTGACAAGAAGGACGTGCACAGGGAGCAGAGGCTGAGAAACAGGAAACCAGAACTAACATGTGACCATATTGTAAAAGAAAGGTACCAACTTACCCAACGACCCACAACCTAATCAAAGACATTCGTAATGCACGAACCGATAATACAAAAAATTTAGACAATACAAAATTTTTGTAAGAAAATTGAAGCGAGCAGTCGACAAGATGGACGTGCACAGGGAGCAGAGGCTGAGAAACAGAACTAACCCAACGACCTACTACCTAACCAAAGACATTCGTAATGCACGAACCGATAATACAAAAAATTTAGACAATACAAAATTTTTGTAAGAAAATTGAAGCGAGCAGTCGACAAGATGGACGTGCACAGGGAGCAGAGGCTGAGAAACAGAACTAACCCAACGACCTACTACCTAACCAAAGACATTCGTAATGCACGAACCGATAATACAAAAATTCAGACGATACAAAATTTTTGTAAGAAAATTGAAGCGAGCAGTCACAGGTGAAGCCACATCAGCGTTGAACAGACCAATTATGAACAAATCGATGATGAACAAAACAAGCAGATTATGAATGATATTACGCACCATGAATCTGCACTGGACGATACCAAATTCAACGATGAACACATAAATTATGAACACATAAATTATGAACACATAAATGATGAAAACCTAAACTTTTCATTTAATTATTTCATTTCCATTTAAATTTGAAAATGCTCTGCAGATACTATGGACCTGAAAATATGAACGAATTTGAATTACTACCTGAGGTTAATGAAAGTTTTGAACATGTTAGCCAAGAATATTGAAGCGAGCAGTCGACAAGATGGACGTGCACAGGGAGCAGAGGCTGAGAAACAGAACTAACCCAACGACCTACTACCTAACCAAAGACATTCGTAATGCACGAACCGATAATACAAAAATTCAGACGATACAAAATTTTTGTAAGAAAATTGAAGCGAGCAGTCACAGGTGAAGCCACATCATCGTTGAACAGACCAATTATGAACAAATCGATGATGAACAAAACAAGCAGATTATGAATGATATTACGCACCATGAATCTGCACTGGACGATACCAAATTCAACGATGAACACATAAATTATGAACACATAAATTATGAACACATAAATGATGAAAACCTAAACTTTTCATTTAATTATTTCATTTCCATTTAATTTTCAAATTATCTCGCAAGTTGAAAGGCCATATTTAACATTTTCGTCAGTATTCTTATAAAACGGGACGGGAGATGCCCTGTTTAAACCCTTAATTAGTCAAATGGAAAATTATTCTGGCAATGATTCACTGTATGAAGAAACGATGACGCCCCCTAATATTAAAGGGGTATTTAAATCAAAAGGGTTTCGCTTTATAGAATTTACAAAACACGAAAACTCACTTGCTGCTAAAGCTACAAACAGCAACCCTGAAATTTTTGGAGACAACCGGCGTTTAACTGTTGAGTTTTTACTTGAACATAAATCTGCATTGAGAGAACCGAAATGAATTTGAAAATGCTCTGCAGATACTATGGACCTGAAAATATGAACGAATTTGAATTACTACCTGAGGTTAATGAAAGTTTTGAACATGTTAGCCAAGAATATTGAAGCGAGCAGTCGACAAGATGGACGTGCACAGGGAGCAGAGGCTGAGAAACAGAACTAACCCAACGACCTACTACCTAACCAAAGACATTCGTAATGCACGAACCGATAATACAAAAATTCAGACGATACAAAATTTTTGTAAGAAAATTGAAGCGAGCAGTCACAGGTGAAGCCACATCAGCGTTGAACAGACCAATTATGAACAAATCGATGATGAACAAAACAAGCAGATTATGAATGATATTATGCACCATGAATCTGCACTGGACGATACCAAATTCAACGATGAACACATAAATTATGAACACATAAATTATGAACACATAAATGATGAAAACCTAAACTTTTCATTTAATTATTTCATTTCCATTTAATTTTCAAATTATCTCGCAAGTTGAAAGCCATATTTAACATTTTCGTCAGTATTCTTATAAAACGGGACGGGAGATGCCCTGTTTAAACCCTTAATTAGTCAAATGGAAAATTATTCTGGCAATGATTCACTGTATGAAGAAACGATGACGCCCCCTAATATTAAAGGGGTATTTAAATCAAAAGGGTTTCGCTTTATAGAATTTACAAAACACGAAAACTCACTTGCTGCTAAAGCTACAAACAGCAACCCTGAAATTTTTGGAGACAATCGGCGTTTAACTGTTGAGTTTTTACTTGAACATAAATCTGCATTGAGAGAACCGAAATGAATTTGAAAATGCTCTGCAGATACTATGGACCTGAAAATATGAACGAATTTGAATTACTACCTGAGGTTAATGAAAGTTTTGAACATGTTAGCCAAGAATATTGAAGCGAGCAGTCGACAAGATGGACGTGCACAGGGAGCAGAGGCTGAGAAACAGAACTAACCCAACGACCTACTACCTAACCAAAGACATTCGTAATGCACGAACCGATAATACAAAAATTCAGACGATACAAAATTTTTGTAAGAAAATTGAAGCGAGCAGTCACAGGTGAAGCCACATCATCGTTGAACAGACCAATTATGAACAAATCGATGATGAACAAAACAAGCAGATTATGAATGATATTACGCACCATGAATCTGCACTGGACGATACCAAATTCAACGATGAACACATAAATTATGAACACATAAATTATGAACACATAAATGATGAAAACCTAAACTTTGCGGATGAACAGAACTTGGCGAGTAAACCGGCGTTTAATTGTTGAAAGCCATCACAAGAGAGAAATTAAAAAACCCAAACATTTTTGTTTCACCAACTCGACTCTGTGTCAGAAACATTCCAACTAATGTTGATGAAAAACAACTCAAAAGAATATTTTTGAATGCGGCCAAAGATCCAACAGCAAAAATAATTGAATGTCGAATCATGAGAGATCTCACTCGACCTAATATTAAAGGGGTATTTAAATCAAAAGGGTTTCGCTTTATAGAATTTACAAAACACGAAAACTCACTTGCTGCTAAAGCTACAAACAGCAACCCTGAAATTTTTGGAGACAACCAGCGTTTAATTGTTGAGTTTTTACTTGAACATAAATCTGCGTTAGAAACTAAGCAAAGGAGATTACTTAATTCTCAAGCCAAATTAAAGGACATAAAATCAAATGTTGGGTAACAGAATGCAAATCCCTTACAAAAACATTACCAACTCATTGGAGAGCAAAAATAAGACACAAACCAGGAAAAAATAGCGATGATGATGATGATGATGATGACAATGAAGATGATGATTATGATAAACTAAATGAAAAAAGTAGTGAGAAATGTAACAACATCAAATCTTGTGATGATAATTCACACTCCAAAAATTATAATAATTAAAAAAATGAGGAATACTCTGAATATGAAAGTAAATCAAATCAAATCAAGAGTCAAAAGAAAATTAAAATGAATACGTTTTAAATTATATTCATACAAATAACCTCAACAATGAGCACAACATCAGTGATGATCACACCGGCAATGAAATCATCGTGGCTGATCACAGCACTAAAAAAGAACACATCAAAGAAAAACAAATCAGCAAAGAACAGTCATGACTTGACAGAATCGTTGAATGAATATGTTTTTAATTACGATGTATACAGTATCAAACATGAACAAACCAGAGATGAACACAATATCCAAAAAGAACCATTTCAATCGAGTGCGAACAAGCCAAGTGTAAGCAAGTCTATTGACCGGTTACAACAATTAACAGACATTGTGCTCACTTATAAGCCACTACAACCAAGTGCGATCAACTTAAATAACACATGCGACCATTCAGCAAATTCAAGCGAGGAAGATTCAAATAACCAGGCATCACAACCAGGTAGGAAGATGGCAAAACTTTATTTTTAAGAAATCTTTCAAATAACTCCGTTGAAGATGATTTAGAAGAGTTCTTCGAGAAATACGGTCCTCTGAGCTATTGTAGAATAGTTGTCAATTTGAAAACACAACATTCTCAAGGATCTGCTAAATTCAATCTGCTAAATTTTGTTAAATTCAAGTTCAAAAAAGATGCAGAAAAATGTTTGCAAAGTTTTGAAGAAGATAGAATAATTTTTTTGGTAACGTTAAATATAGCACCAAATATGAATGAATGTTATTTTTGTGACGATGTGGTAGACGAGGGCGGCTTAGTTATAATAAAATTGTAGTTTTTTTTTAATTTTCAAAACAACTTTTATAATTTTCTGGTTAATTTTTTTTTGTGCGGATATTATAATGTGCAACATAATAAAAATAAATTTAAACTTAATATTTGTTCAGCCAACGTTTCTTCAGAAAATATTATTTAGATTATAAATATGAAGTCGTTATTTCCTGTATATACGAAACCTACGAAGTGCAAAACAACCTAATTAAAAATTTGTTGTATTTTAACAAAGTTGATCATAAAATTATTTGATAACGCTTATAATTGTCTCCGCATTAATGTGACCAACCAATCCATTCAATCATTCTACCGATTTATTGGCATAATTCAATTTAAGGTTTCTTTTCAATTTTCCTTACTAGAGTTTTTTTAAAAATTGTTCAATTGGTTGAAAATAGAATTATCCAAGTTCATCACGAAAATGTAATGAAACTTGTTATCCGAATTCATCATGTAGATAAGGCCTTAGTTTGAATTCTATATGTGATAGAAGTATATATATTTGTGTATAGATGACATATATATATATATATACATACAACATATATATACATATATATATATATATTAAAAATTGACACTAAAAATTCTGACATTTATTAAAAATAGACAAAATGAGTGTCAACCATGAAATATTATTCACGTGAGAAAAAGCTAAAGGAACGTCATTACAAACCCTGGTTGCATATAGAGGGAAAAGTCAAAGGTCCGAAGGCGAACGACATACTCCGACCAATCACAAGCCAGATATCATCTACTCATGATACAGCAAAACACTTTCGACAAAATAATGACTCCAATTATTACAAAAAAATTGTCTAACTTCCACGCACAACTTCATCAAAATTTTGAGATTAAGTCCAGACAAACATGAAAAGCGTTAACGTGGTGTAGAGTCATTGTTTGCAAGCGTATCTATCACACCCACTAGACTAAATATTTGAAATAAATATATATATATATATATATGTGATATATGTATATATATAAATCAATATATGATACAAAAAATGGTCTAATAATCTGGATATCATAAGTGCGGAGAAAAACTATCAAAACTTCTTCGGATTGATCAGAAGTGGATTAGAGGGATACTATTTAGAGTGGATACTGTTTATACACACGTTACCATATGTTTTTTCATATTTTGGCAATCTGGACCGATTTTCAGATGTTTCGTTAGATTGATTCAATATTTATTCTTTGTATGAATCAACGTCATTTTTTTTTCTATCATCTTAAAAAAAAACATCCTCAGTGGAGGCAATAAAAAAAAAACCAAATAAAATGAAGAAAACGAGAACAATGTTTGTTCTCTGAATGGTCCAGTATAATAATTTACACACATGCCAATCTCCGACACCTGAAAAATCTCATTGCCTCATCAGCAACTAGAGCAACTGAGACCAAATATGTCTCATTTAAGTAAGAAAATTTCCTTAATATCAATTGAAGACATCAGAGTCTAAAACAAAAAAAAATAAGCAACTGTGTCTTGACTAGATCAGACTATCGCTGATGCAAGTCTTGTTGCGAAACAACTCCCCCAGTTAACTGGGTATTGTTGAAAGGGAGGAGAGATTGTCGTTGGTGTAGACGACGGAGGCTTTACGAATACTTGGAAATTAAAGGTTAAAGGTCATTTTCCTTGAACATTTGCTTCAGGGGTATCGACGACAAATACACACAAGTTTTTGACGGAAAAGTAGAAATGATTAACTGTGTGTATTCGTAAGAAATACCGTATATACGATATTTACATTTGTAACATTCACCTGGAAGTTAGAACTTCCAAGGGCTTTCACTAAATTCTTTGTACTAAACACAATTTTTAATTAGTTACACACACGCACGCACACACACACAGACACGCACACAAATATACATACAAAGGACCAGACATTCACGCAATCAAAAAATTAAATAACATACCGAATATACATTTATTTAATTAATTTGGAGTATATATATATATATATATATATATATATATATATATATATATATATATATGGAGTATTAAATTGATAAGTTAACAATAATCAAAATTCAACTAAGTAGAGAGTATAATTATCGTAACATATTACAATAATAACATTCAACTACTGATATTATTTTTTCAAAGCTTACATTCGTTTTTAATGTTTCGTTTTTTTTTTATCGACATTAACGTTTAGTTATGTAATTATCCGATAACACATGCTATAAACATAAGGTTGTACATTTTTATGTTTATGTATATATTTAAAAAGTGTACAATATGATTACATTAACAACAATTACCTATCAAAAAATGTTAGACCTGAGTGTAGATATTTACAAGCAGATGGAAGGAGTGCATGGAATGAATGAGGTTATTTAAATTTTAAAGTTTAAATATATAAATTTTAAACGCACAAAATTATAGCATAATTTTTGGAAAAGAATAGTCTCAACAATAAAACTAACTCCCCAAAACTCTTAAATGTGTTGACTCGTTGGAATAGAGACATGTCAAAATATATTTATGGAGAAATTTGGGCATAAAACGACACCACCTTCAGCATAACACAAAAAAATGACGAGCGGTAGCTTAGCAAATTTATACTAGTGTAGAAAAAATTTAGACTGGTGACCTATTTTAGGTTCATCACATCAATTTTTGGTCGCGACTAAAGATACTATCATAGATATATATCTATAAGGGTTCACCGACAGTTCCCAGCAATAAAAATTATAAGCTTATGTCAAATGTAGCAATGACTGTGAATGTGGACACCGGCTGTCACGTTGTCCGTGGAACTTCTGGCGGAGACTTCGTTGACTGCCGACGTGTTGTCACTTCACCGCTGCGGAAATGCCGTGTCGTTTGTTGAACGTAATGTCGCTTCACGTCTGCTGAAGTAACGGGTAGGTTGTTGAACGTAATGTCGCTTCACGTCTGCTGAAGTAACGGGTAGGTTGTTGAACGTGCTGTCAAATCACGTTTGCTGAATTGACGTGTCGTTTCGTTATCGGGGTTTGCCCTGACTACTGTGGAATTTATTAACCACCAACGTAACCGCTTTTACCAACTGCACCAACCACCGACGTAACTTCGAGAGTTTGAACTACCGCTAATTACGACCTACAAGCTTCCACCAACAAATTTATCGCTTGTTCTCCTTTCAAATTTCCCTGGTCTGTTTATTTAAACAATTCTGTACACACTGGGGATTGGTTTCTATTTTTACGTGCTTCATTGCCATTCGTCTATCACTGCTATCATAATGTATTCATAACCCTTGCATGTTAATTTTTTCGGTCGCAGCTAAAACCCTGACATATATCCATAGATACTACGCATAATAAATTTTGATATTTCTATGACAATGCCTAGGTTAACTACCAGCTTAATTAACTATATCAGCGTCACATACCAAAAAATCGAACTATAGTATTACTTAACCATTCACTCAATTCATGGTACTATATAATAAAAACGACCGGATTTCTAGTACCAATTTTTACAAATTACACATTTTTAAGCTCAGAAAATTGAGTACAACACATATTAAATATATCCCTGGTACTACATTAGTCTAGTAGCTCACCACCAGCTTAATTCACTATATTCCAACATTCCAACAAATTCAAATTATAGTAATGCATAATGAGACCACACGGTCGATTCAAATACTAAATATTATATCATGAATGTCGGAATATCCATTACCAAATTATACATTTTTTGTTCTGGAAAATAAGTTCTAAATGAATCAAGAAACAAACTACCACGAAAAATCAATTTATTAGTAGTACATAGTGATAACTATTTGGCTTTTGTCACTAAAGCTAAAATAAGTTTGTATTGTTCTGCGTGAACTAGTTATCATTATGTATTAGTATAGTTATTTTATTTTTCAATTCGTGAGTGAGTGAGTAAGTGAGTGTGTGAGTGAAAACAAAAGCTTATGATCAAACCTCATTGTTATTCAATAAAAAAAAAAAATGAAAATCTTAAAAGATACAACTACTCAACTATGGCATTGTATGAATGCAAGAAGGTTGTTAGTACGAACTTCTGCCACTAACAAGACACTTTGTTGTGAGTTAAAATAAATAAAACAAACACAATTCAGGCGTAATAAAATATTATCTTTATTCCCACGTGAATCTCGAACCGTTTCGTTTACAAGCTATCAGGAAAAAAAATGGAGAAGAAGTCGAGAGAGAAGCAAAGACATAAAAATTAACATAGATTAGGTAACATTGAAAATTGCAATAATCTTTAATAATAATTAATACATAAGATAGTTAATAAATGAATGTTTGATTCCTACAATACTCCCCAACAAAAGGCGGAGCCGTTTAAAAATAAAAATATTCATTTTGTTTGTTGAATGTTATTCGCCTCCCTTTTATGGAGTGTTGGGTTGTTGATTCGGATTTGATTGACGTCGGTCTTGTTTCTTGTGTTGTTGTTGCGCCTGATGTTGTTGTTGTTGCTGTTTCTGGTGTTTCAGTAGATTTTTTGTCTGATGTTGCTGGTTTTGTTGAATCTGTTGTAGAAAGTTTGTTGTTCGTTATCGAACTATTCTCGTTGTTTATTCTGATTTTGGCTGTTAGAGGTAATGATAAACAAGCTGGCTTTAATCGATCAATTGACACATTTTGAAAATTTCCTGGTAACAATTCAATTTTAAAGTATTTTTCGTTACGTTCAATCACTTTGAAAGGGCCTGTATATGGTGCTTCCAGTGGACGACGTACTCGATCTACTCTTAACCATACGTGACTACTGTTTGAAAGGTCATTTGGTACGAAAGCTTTTGGGGTAGAGTGATGTTGATTGTTAGTTGTTAGGTAGTCATTAAGTTTAAACATTTCTTTTGGTAGTTGTTTGATTTGACTAGATGTTATATCTTCGTTTGAATCTGGGAATAAAAATCTACTTGGTAATAATAAGTTGGTTCCTGTTACTGCTATTGCTCGAGATATTTCATTTTCACAATATTCCCCCGCCAGAAGCCGAGCCATTCAAATGGGAAAAAGTTTGATTTCTACAAAGGAAAGCATTTTTCTTAGTCATAACGTGCTCTTTGGTTGAGTGTGTTCCATTTCATCTCGTACAAAAATTTGTGCAAGTCATGATGAGTATGCGTTTTTGAAATTTAACAATGGAAAATGGTAGCCTTTGTTTGGTGAAGTTCACTAGTGCGTTGCCTGTACAATTTAGCCACCGTGTGCTATTTTTAGCTTTTGGTTCTCACCTGGTTTCGTAATTTATGGCGGGGTTGATTTATTAGTTAGTGTCCGTCAATCAGTGAGGATTTGTTTTTATTGTCCACGAGTGAGTGAGTGAGCAAGTAAATAAGTGTGTGAATGAATTAATTAGTGCGTGAATGAATGGGCAAATGATTTAGGTTTTTGTTTCAGTTTAAATTTTTTACAAATTAAATTTTTTAGTATTTATTTTCAACCCATAAAAATTAACTTTTTATTCCGCCTTAATAATTAAAAATTTCACAACAACATATCAATTACACGCAGTTATATTCAAATTTAAAATTTTATAAGATAATCATCTTCTGTCCGGTTTATCCAGTTTTTTTTAAATGACTCTTACTTTACAAAAGCTTCCTCGCAACAAAGTTTCAAATTTTCTGTTGACCTTTAGAGTGCATCAACTTTGACTTAGCCCCACAAGCAACTTCAGACTGGGTAGTCTTAATGATGACTTTGATGAATGAAATGTTACTGACTCTTAATTTTAATCCATATAAACATGAAACATTGAAAGAATGCAACATTTTAAAACCATTGAATGACTGAACTCTGTCATAGGGATGTAGAACAACAAACGCACATCAGGGCTCTGCCATTTCAAACAAAGGAACTGACCTAAAACCTTATAAAAGGCCATTTTAAATTTGTTCGTAAATTTTAATTAAATTTCTACTTTAAATTTTTGTTTTTAACAAAATTTTGAATTCAGTCATAAATAAGACATTTTTTTTGCCTAATTTTTGTTAAAAAAATTCCCAGAACCAGCAAAATCGTCAATAAATATGATAAATAATTGTATGTGTGTGTGTGATGTGTGTGTGGTGTGTGTGTGATGTGTGTGCCTGCGTTGATTTTTTTGGACATTAGAGCTGTTTGAACCTTTGTTTTATCTACAGCACGTGAGCAGCGTTCATGTGTGTGTACGTATGTGTTTACGTGTGTGTTTGTTGTTGTGTGTGGAAATTTGTCGTTAATTTAGCACACTTCTTGTCGCATTGTTCTTAAATTTTGAAAAAACTTCATCTTGCCACATGCAACCATTTCCATCCTACCCAACATTAACAAGAAACTTGACGTTCCTATAAAATTATACATTTCAATTTTAGGCAAGAAATCGAGACTGTAATAAAGAAGAGAAACATGAATAAAAATGAAGTTATTGTTGAATGAATTCATGAGCAGACTGGACAAAGCAAATACACTAGTGACTTGGGTTAGTTATTAGTTAGTTAATCGTACGAAGTACAATTGGTCAGTTATTTTTAGTACGACGTACGATTGGTCAGTTATTTTTAGTACGACTTACGATTGGTTAGTTATTGCTTGTAGGAGTACTTAGTACAAACTGGACAGCTACAAGGTTGCTGTATAAACAAATGTATGTTTACATAAAAACTTCTTTGTCCCACAGATTTTTATTATATTTTATTAGGTTAACTTTGCGAATCAGTCTTTTCCTTTCGATTCAAGGTAACGTCTTACGATATGAATACAAGAAGAGTTTAGAAGATTGCTGGAGATAGTGTAACACAATCATAGAACATAATGGAAGAGGTCTTCTTTGTTTGCAACTTTTATTAATTTATATCTACGATTACAAAACTTGTTTCTATGATGATTTATTGTTGTTTCTATTTTGTTTTTTGCTGTTTTATTTACAATTTATTATTGTTTATTATAATTTATTATTATTATTAGCAACAAGAGTAGTTGAAGGAGCCTTAGCAGTAGCTATGCTAGCAGTTGCAGCAGTAGTAGTAACAGTAGCCGTATTAGACTTCTAGTAGTAGTAATGGTAGTGGAAGTAGTAGTGGTAGAAGTAATTATGACGACAGAAATCCATTAACCTTTCAACTTAAACAATTAAATATAAAATCAAAACTTGAAAAAAATTCTCAGCAGACCGTAACCATTCCGAGAAATGAACGCCGCCGAAGTGACCGCACTAGCAACACTAGTAGTTACTTCAAGAACCCTTCAATTAAATTTTTCCTCCACATGGTAAGTAGATTTTTTTTGGTTCTGTTGGTAAATGTAAAAAATTTTCTCGGCGGTATTAGAAAATAAATTTAGGATTTTTAAGAACTCAGAAGAAAATAAATATTTTGATAAATATTTAAAAATATATTAAACATATTTTTGGCCATTTTTATTACAATTGAATAGATTTTATTTTTTTAATTTTTCCTCCAGGTCGCTCATTTCATCTTCATGTTGTCCGCATTAACTCTGCTGTTGAATCCAAATGATTCGAAGGCTGATATGTACGTACACTTCTACCTAGCTGGAATCATCTTCGATATCTTATGCGAAGTAATTGATTTCAATAGATAATTTATTTATTTAAAAAATTTGATAATTAGTTTATTAATTAATGCAAACAAAAAGATGAGTTAAACAGCACAAATTTTGTTGACGATATTTTGAATTTGAAATTCGGTCAGTAGTTTGATTGAAATGGTTCTATTGTTTGCGCGCAACATTTTAAAAATTATGACATCACTATGACGCCATTCTACACAGTAACTCACATGGAAGCTGTCATGCTTAACAAATTTTCCATAAACATCCATCCTAGTTAGGGGCAATGAAACACAGGCATGATTTTGGACGGGCCATCATCTTCTTGAACTTTCCGGAAACGATTATCATTGGTAACTTCATTATCAGCCGTGTCGCTTGGGAGTGGTATTTCGTCATCTTTGCGTTATCCGTCTACAAGTTTGTGAGCTTCTGCACCAAGGATATGAAGATGGAGTCTCCCTTGAAAAAATTACTTATAAAAGTGAGTGTGCCGATTAGGAATGATAAAATTTGTAAGAGTTTTGGCTTCTTTCCAAAGAAAAAAAATCCGTCCTAATATTTCTTTTATAAGTTATTTCGAATTTATCGTTTAATATTTATTTTGGTATTTCTTTTTGGTGTTATAAAATAAACATGTTATACCAATACGCAAACCACATCGTAGTATATCGTCATCATCATCTTCCTCATCACCGTCATCATCATAGTCGTCATCCCGTACTCATTATCGTCCTCATCATATTCATCATCGTCATAATTATCATCATCAACATGGTTAACATCATTATATTCACTAATATTTCATACAAACAAATTAAGAACATAATGGTCCAAAGCTGCTGTCTTATAACCTGGCTACTGTGGATAGCTTTCACGAAGGATGGAGATGAGTCCTTAAACCTTTGCAACACAAGTTTGTTAATTGTTTTGTTGGCTTTTACTGCCTTAAACACTTATTGCTGTTGTGTTTGTGTTTCAGATTGAATATGGCTTATGCTTCAACCTTTGTATTAACGTAACGATTAAAGGTGCATGGTTAAAATTGGTTCGTACACATTATACATGCATACTGCAAATAAAATGCAATATGCAAATGTCACTTATAAAGGACAACCATATTTTTTCAACTGTTCAACTGTTCAAATTATCTTTCATTTCCAGCTGATCTTCTTCTGCCGTGCGGAGCTCAGTTTATAATTTCTTCATTTGCTGCATTCTGTGTTTCCTTCTTTCTGTTTCTTACTGCAGGCTTGTTAGTCGACAATTTCATTTTTAAAAACGGGTTTCATTTAATTAGTATTATTAAACATTTGGTTGTTTATGTTTTTTAATTTCCAGCATTAAAAAATCCATTTCACGTCGTTTAACGTTGTTATGCAGGCTTGTAAATGTATTGAAAGTTCAGTTTCGGTCTTTTTTGAAGTTGGACGAATACACCGAAACAATGAAGTACGACGGGCTGCCGCTCTTGCCAACTCCACTCAGCATCCTGTACTACCTGCATGCAGCTAACGTGCTATATGTTCAAAAGTCAGTTCCAATTTATTAAATTTGAATTGTAATTATATTCCATTTTATTGTGCTTGCCAAATAGATGTTATAATTGCCCAAATTTAACTTTTGGTAAACTTGAAATATTTAATTTTGACGGCGTGATGGCTCAATGGTTAAAGGCGCCTGGTCTTGCTATTGCAATGACTGGGTTCGAATTCAAAGAGATCCTCGCCTATCATATGCAGTGTATGATGCGTGGTTTGCACGCGTATTCATATACGATACGCTGTGTGTGTTTGTCGTTGAAACCTCTGACGCTAACGCAAAAGAGAGAGAGTAACCTTTAATTGTTAAACAAAACTTGCTTTTTGTTATGCATACAAATGTAAGTTTTACGAAGTCAACAGTTTTTCAAAAGTTATTTTGGGATTGGTTGATTAACAAACCTCATGAAAACAGTGATAACATTGAATGAAAATCTACCCACAGCTTCACCAACATGGCTATCCAGTTCACGTGGAAAATGTGCCATCAACTGAAAGCCCTGTTTAAATCGTCGCAAATTTCCAGTTCAAAAAAAAAAAAAAATGACCAACCATCTCAATCAAGAGTGAACACACCAAGAGTGAACATGCCAAGAGTGAACATGCCAAGAGTGAACACACCAAGAGTGAACGAACCAAGTGTGAACGAACCAAGTATGAACAAACCAGGTGTGAACAAACCAGGTGTGAACAAACCAAGTGTGAACAAACCAAGTGTGAACAAACCAACTGTGAGCAAACCAACTGTGAGCAAACCAACTGTGAGCAAACCAACTGTGAACAAACCAACTGTGAACAAACCAACTGTGAACGAACCAGCTGTGAACGAGCCAACTGTGAAAGAATCTAGTTACCAGCCTCAAAAATCGAGGAAGAAAAAATCTGGTCTGAAAACATCTAGTGTGAACACATCAAAAGTGAACACATCAAGTGTGAACACATCAAAAGTGAACAAACTAAGTGTGAACTATTCAAGTAACCGGCCATCGGAATCAAACGTGAACAAGTTAAGTGACCAAACATCTGAATCAAAAGTGAACAAACCAAGTGGAAATGTGCAGAACATCAGTGGTGAACAAAACATAATGGGTGAACACACCATTGATGAATACATCGTTGAACAGTTGAACAGTTGTCTTGCACACATAACATCTGAATTGGTTAGGGTTCTCTCGAATGTTGACCCTGAACTCGAGTTAAACTTCAATAAATGCGTCACTGATGAACGTAACAAGCAGATTATGAATATCACGCCCCGTGAATCTGCACCCGACGATACCAAATCAAATGATGAACACACAAATGATGAACACAACTTTGCGGATGAACAGAACTTGGCGGGTAAACACAACTTCGCGGATGAAATCAACTTAGTGGGTGAACATAGCGACGGTAATGAATACAACATTAAAGATAACATAAACAATGAACAATCTCTCAGTGATATTTTAAACCCAACATCTGCATTGGACACTACTAGTTTCACTGATGAAGCATTGAGTGAATATAATTTTAATGACAATGAAAACAACATCAAATGTGAACACACCAGAGATGAACAAAATATGAAAGAACACAAAATCAAGGGAGATCAAATCAACAATGAACAGTCTCTCAGCAATATTTCAGACCCAACGACTGCTGACTTGACTGATAAAAACAGCATCCAGTGTGAACAGAGTAGAAATGAACACAATACTGGGTTGAAATACAACATCGAAGAAGAACGGAATAACAAAGAAAACAATGACAAAGAAGAACACCCTAACAATGACGAACACACCAACAATGAACATGAACTCTATGTTAAGATAATTTCAGACCCATCCATTACCGACCTGATTGATAAACCATTGAATGAATACTCGAATGATGAACACACAATTAATGAACATAACGCAGAGGATGAACCATTTCAATCGAGTGCGAACAAACCAAGTGTGAGCAAACCAACAGTGAACAAGTTTATTGACAGGCTACAACAATCAACAGTGAGAAAATCTAAACAGATATGGAAGCCAGATGACATTGTGCTCACTGATAAGCCACTACAACCAAGTGCGATCAACTTAAATAACACATGCGACCATTCAGCAAATTCAAGCGAGGAAGATTCAAATAACCAGGCATCACAGCCAGGTAGGAAAGAGTTAAATAACCTTGCACCACACGAATACAACATTACAAAGGTACAAAACATAATTGATAAAATCAATAACGATGAACAAATCGTTGGCGAACATGGTTCTGATTTTATCACAAGCCTAATATCTGATTTGTTGGAAATCGATACTGAAGTGTTGGATGAATACGTTTTAAATTATATTCATACAAATAGCCTCACCGATGAACGCAACATCAGTGATGGGCAGACCGGTAATGAATTCATCCTCGTGGGTGAACACAACACTAAAAAAGAACAAATCAAAAAAGAACAAATCAAAAAAGAACAAATCAGCATAAAACGGTCTATTAGTGACTTGACAGAATCGTTGAATGAATATGTTTTTAATTACGATGTATACAGCATCAAACATGAACAAACCAGAGATGAACACAATATCCAAAAAGAAAACAACAGCATAGAAAGAGACATCAACGATGAACAGTCTCCCATTGGTAATTCAGACCCAACATCCGCATTGGCCACTACCGACCAGCATATCAGTGCTGAAAACACAAATGATGAACACAACGCTGGAGATGAACGTAATATCAAACAGGAACACAATATCAAAGAAGAACAAATCATCAATGAAGAGTCTCTCAATGATAATAACGACTTGACTTTTGGAGAGCAATTAATGAAATATTTTTTTGGTAACGTTGAAAATAGCACCAAATATAAAAACAAAGATGATGAACGTAAAACCGGTGATGAACCAGACATGAAAACAGTTCAGATCAAAGAAGAACACTTGACCAATGAACGACAGTCTCTCAATGATATATCAAACCCAACATCTACATCGAACACCCTTGACTGGACTGAAGAAACCTTGAATGAATATGATTTTTGTGACGATAGTGACAGCAAAACTGACAGCGATTTGGTAGACGGCTTCGTTATAATAGATTTGTAATTTTTATTGTAATTTTCAAAACAATTATTTTAATTTATGAACCCGTGGTTTTTTATGATTAATTTTTCTTGTGCGGATATGATGTGCAACATAATAAAAATATAATTGTTCAGCCAAGGTTTCTTAAGAAAATATTTAGATTATAAACATGAAGTCGCTATTGGTTCCTGTATATACGAAACCAACAAACCGCAAAACAACCTGATTAAAAAATTTTTGTATTTTAAAAATTTTGATCGTAAATTTATATGATAACGCTTAATCAATGTAATTGTCAACTATGATGCGATCAACCAATTCATTCACGTTAATTCCTTCTACATATCCGTATGTTTTTTTCATATTTTGGCAATCTGGACCGATTTTCAGATGTTTCGTTAGATTGATTCAATATTTATTCTTTGTATGAATCAACGTCATTTTTTTTATCTATCATCTTAAAAAAAACATCCTCAGTGGAGGCAATAAAAACCAAACAAACCAATGCCTGTTCTATGATGGGTTCAGTATAATAATTTACACACATGCCAATCTCCGACACCTGAAAAATCTCATCACTGCATCAGCAACCGAAACCAAATCTGTCTCATTTTAAGTAAAAAATATTCCTCAATATCAAACGAAGACATCAGTCTAAAACAAAAAAAATAAGCAACTGTGTCTAGACTAGATCAAACTATCGCTGATGCAAGTCTTGTTGCGAAACAACTCCCCCAGTTGAAAACTGGGTATTGTTGAAAGGGAGGAGAGATTGTCGTTGGTGTAGACGACGGAGGCTTTACGAATACTTGGAAATTAAAGGTTAAAGGTCATTTTCCTTGAACATTTGCTTCAGGGGTATCAACGACAAATACACACAAGTTTTTGACGGAAAAGTAGAAATGATTAACTGTGTGTATTCGTAAGAAATACCGTATATACGATATTTACATTTGTAACATTCACCTGGAAGTTAGAACTTCCAAGGGCTTTCACTAAATTCTTTGTACTAAACACAATGTTTAATTAGTTACAGACACACACACACGCACGCACACATACATACAAACACACACACGCACACAAACATGCATACAAAAGAACCAGACATTCACTCATTCAAAAAATGAAATAACATACCGAATATACATTTATTTAATTAATTTGGAGTATATAATTAATTTTATTAAATTGATAAGTTAACAATAAACAAAGTTCAACTAAGCTAGAATGTATTATTATCGTAACATATTACAATAATAACATTCAACTACTTATATTATTATTCTTATTCTCAAAGTATTCATTCGTGTTTAATGAGAAAATAGTTTTATAAACGTTAACGATTAATTATGCAATTAACCGATCCAACAGAACAAAACTAACAAGCAGTCAAATGTTCCATATTTAAAAATTAAAATAAGAAACTACACACACACACACATAAATATATATATATATATATATATACAAACATACTTATATACATGCGTATTACATAAATATATATATATACATATATTTGATATATTTTGGGACGAGGTTTTCGGCTGTGCAAATTTCATTGAATATTTTTGCCCACTTAGCATTATATATATATATATATATATATATATACACACAAAACACATCTATAAAACATTCAATACTACAACACGCACACAATAGATCAGTATTTTTCGTAAAATCTATATATATATACACACAAAACACATCTATAAAACATTCAATACTACAACACGCACACAATAAATCAGTATTTTTCGTAAAATCTTTCTCACTAACCCAAGTTTTTTAATGAGTAAATCAATGAAAAATTATATAAACATAAGGTCGTATATATATATATTATATATATACATACCAACAAATTATCCAGCTCATAAAACAAATAACTAACAGATTAAATTCTAAAAAAATTTGTTTATTTATTTATTAAAAAATTAAAATGAGCATTTCAAAGGTTCAATGTTAATATTATCAACTGCTTTCTTCGGCAACAAAAGACTTCATCTTATAAATAATTCATTGTTAATACTTCGAGATAATAATTAAGTATAAATACAGTAAACAAAAGTTTAATAATAAAAAAAACCTTTCACTAAAGTATCTTACTGCAATCATTACAGTCAATACATATATATAAAGATATATACAACTCTTATCATGCCAGTCTAATATCATTCAAGATATATATCTAGTATATCTCTCTGCCTTTATTGATACATCTCCTTTATTGATACAATATCTATCAAGATACCTTAGCGACATAAAGAACCAATATATCTATATAGATACCCATCTAAATAGCGAAATACTTTGATAAAAGATTTTTTCCATACAAAACTTATAACTTTATTATAAAGTGACGCATGAAAAAGGATTGATCTCTGACTGAACTTGCCCAAAATAACTTAGTAGTATTGTCATATAACAATACATACAACTCAAAGCTATTAATAAACTTATGAATACCGCTAAATTATCGATATATACCATCGAAAATCATAGCCGTGTCATTAATTTACATGGATATCTATCCAGACATATCATTGATATAGTAAATATATATACGTATATCCATTTAGATACCTTTAAATATTCAAAAAATACCCTAAGGTATATGGGTAAATCGAGTAAATAACTTTGAATAACAAACGCGTGTACAAATATATTCGACTATTAAAAAAAATGTTCTGTAATTGCTAATTCACACACACACACACACACACACACACACACACACACACACACACACACACACACACACACCACACACCAGTTACACAAAGATATCTTCACGAAACAACCGCTAGAATAAGAATAAATGGAAACTGTTAGAAAAAAAGATGCAATTTCTTTCTCATCATCAGTGTCTGCCTGGACTAAACAGAGTTTTAAATTTTCATTGTTAATGGCATTGGTGGTATATACCGATGTCATAATGTTGTCGTAATATCATAATAATTTCATCTTATTATTGCAATATTTAATCCAATTTTATTAAAATATATGTAAATATATATATAAATATATATATATATATATATATATATATATATATATAAATATATATATATATATATATATATATATATATATATATATATATATATAAGTATATGGATTATAAGCATGTCTGCTAAAGGTAATGTTAACTTCTGTTATCTATTGGACGTGTGACCAGAAGGTGCATGTCTGTCATCATATCATAATCAGGTCGTCATCACAGTTTAATCAACGTCATCACTGACATTCACATCATCGTTACAAATATCATTATAAAATTTTATTATTATTTTACATTATTATTATTATTATTGGTAGTGGTAGCAGTATTATTATTATTATTATTATTCCCAGCACCCTCAGCAACCAAGCAGTGGATGAGTGTTTATCTTATCACCAGCTTCTGCCATTGAGATGACGTCTTTGGCTGCAGATTCTGCGGTAGTAAAAGTCGCCGTCGTTGTAGTAGTAGCAGCAGCAACAGCATCAGCTGTAGTAATAGACGAGTCGGTAGTAGCATTAAGGATGGCTGTAGCAATCGTAGTAGCTGTATTTGCCACAGTAGTAGTTGTGGTACAGGCGTTATTTATTGGAGCAACGTCTCCAATATTCTCGGCGCCAAACAAATTATTTTCACTCCCGCCACAATTAACATTCGAACTTTCCTCATCTACCTCCATTTTTGTTGCCGCCTGGCCATCATTCTTTTCAGGATTGTAAGCACACTTCAATGAATCGACAACAACGTTATTCACAAGAGCAACAGAAGCAGTAGTAGGAGCAGCAGCAGTAGCAGTTGTAGCAGAAGCAGTATTAGCAGCTGTAATAGCACTAATAGCTGCAACAGTGGTAGCTTCCACAGCTGCCAACGGACAACTACTCCTTCTGGTTCCTTGTATGAACGCCATGCCATGAACACGCATGTGCACACGCAGTTCAGTGTAGTTGTTGAACGTCTTGTAGCAAACTTTACATTCGTTACCTTGCAGCAACGACGACGTCGGCGAGCTGCTGATGCTGCTGTCGCCGTCTGCAGCAGCAGTTGCCGTCGAGGATAATCTATTGTTGGATCGCAAGCCGGACCTCGTGGCTCTGGTTCTCGTGCTGTTGCTCAGGGAGATAGTCTGAGAAGATGGCGTCATAGGTGAAGTGGAAGAAATGACGTCACTAGAAATTTTGCTCTTCTCATTTCTTTTACCCCTGCTCTTCTTGTCAGAAAGGTTATTGGCGTCATTATTATTAATGTTGTCACCATAGTGTGGGGAGGCTTGCTTTCGAGGAGAGGGCACTTCAAAGAGTGATTGGTTGAAGGTGGCTCCAGGAGACGCCAGCAGTTCCTTGTGGATGTCGTGCGGTTGCAGCAGTGACATACGTCTCAACTTTTCAGCGGGCAGATCAACGAGCGACCTCGACAGAGAAGATGGTCGGGACGTGGATGATGAGGACAATGCAGATGACACCGATGATGAGGAGGATAGCTTTCTTTTGATTCCACGTTTAGCCGTCGGGAATGACTCACCATCCGGCATCTCCATTTTTATTTGTTTGTCATCCACCTCTTCACAACTACCTCGATTGCAATCAGCAGCATCACCGTCATCTCCAGCAACATCATCCTTATCATCATCATCATCATCAGATAATTTCTTCCTCTTAAGACCACCAGCCGGCAAACTGTTAACAACACCGGCGAACATCATCAAATCATCACTTTCATAAAGACTAAGATCAGTGACCTTGTGAACCAGTCTGAGGTGACGACTGAGGGCAGAGGTCACGACGAAAAGTGCCCCGCATTCGGGACACTGGGGATTTTGAACTCTCAAACCATCACCTCCACCCTCATTAACATCAGCACTGAGGTTAGCGACAACCTTACTGCAACTACCAGATGCATCACCACCACGGCAACCATCTTCACCCTCATCAGCGGTGTAGTTGTTGTGGCAGACGATATGCCGCCAAAAATCCGGCCTCTCATAAGACGAGTGGCAGCAGTAGCAGCAGTGGTACTTCGTCCCAGGGTCACCAAATATTTTTCTCAATCTGACTTCATTCTCATAGGCGTCATCTTCCGAACTACCATCAAAATTTTTATTACTATTAGCAACCTTATCATTGTTAAAGGTCCCAGTTGGAGTTTTCACGATTGCATTAGTAGTGTTATGGGTAGCAATACCACTCATTGTAATCGTGTTTGGAGTAGTATTTGTATCAGTACTGCTACTGCTACCACTAACAACAATGCAACTACTACCACTAATACTATTATTACTTCTGACGTTATCTCCAGTACAATCTGTGAAATTCGTAGCAGTAGCAATAATTGTGGTAGCGGTAGTAACAGTAGTAGTGGCAGTAGAAGTGTCAGTGGTTGTGGCAGTAGAAGTATCAGTAGGAGCAGCAGCAGCAGGAGCATCAAGAGTGGTACCAGACGTAGCATTCATTTTATCTTCATCAGCATCCCCCCATGTTTCAGTAGCGACGAGAACAGAGATATCATCATCGCCAGCGCCGTCATCGTTATCATGACCGGCGGCGCTGCGCTTTATTCCTCCTTCGTTGGGTTTGTACAGTCTGTCAATCATGTCGTATTTGTTGACTGCCGTGCTGACGAGCTTGTGTTTGATACGCATGTGCTTGCGCAGCGAGAGTAGGGAGTTGAAGTAGCGCTTGGCGTTTATGTTGCCAGACGTCGACGGCGGTGGACAGAATTGACACTTGAACGTCACATTTGATTTGCTGTTGCCGCCGCCGCTGCTGACGCTGTTGAAGTTACTGCCGTTGCTGCCGTTAACGGAGATTGTATTGTAGCCGAGAATGCTGCTGCTGAAGTAGAAGTTGTGGATGGCTGAGACGTGCTGCTGGAGGCGACTCTGGCGTTTGAAAGTTTTATTGCAGAGTTGACACGGATACCATTTGCCGTCATCAATTTCACTGCTGTTGTTGTTGTTGCCAGCTGGGATGTTAGAGGTGCTGACGTTGTCGTTATTGAAGAGTTTGTTGCTGGTCGACATGCTGCTGCAACCACTTGTTCGGCCGACATCACTATTAACATCGCCGTCGCACCGACCACCAAGTTCATTCTTACTGTTCATATTCTCGAGTTCACCTTTGTTCACCACATCAACATCTTGCACTGAAGCAGCTGCATCATCAACATCATCAACATTATTACTACAGTCATTGATGCTGTTATCATTTGTAGTATCATTATCATCACGCTCCTCCTCACCATCACCACCATCATCATCACCAATCTTCCTCCACTTATTCCTCTTGATGTTCTCTAAGAATTGGTGCTTAAGTTGGTGTCGTCTGTAAGCCCTGGAGTCTATGAACACCTCGTTACATCTGGAGCATTCCAACAGAGATGATGACGACGATAATGAAGATGATGGTTGTGATGACGCTGACGACGATGGTGGCGGTTGCAATGGCGGCGGATGTAGCGACGGCGATAGTAGCAGTGCTGATGATGATGGTGAAAGCTGTGATGATGACGATGATGGTACTGCCGATGACGACGACGATGATGGAACTGTAGACGATGATAAAGAAGATAACTGTGGAAAGAATGTTAATGGTGATTGGAACAATAATGACGATGATAGCAGCGGGGACGATGATGAAGTAGACAACGATGGGAACAATGATAAACTACTTCTGCTGTTTACAGATGTCTTACTGCTAGCATTAATGATGTCTGCCATGTTTACATTAGGAATGATATTGTTATTGTTGGCACTGTTAATGGCATTATTAATGTTTTTAAGCATCATGCTGTTATTAATGTTATCATCCTCCAGTTCACCATCCTCATCGTCAGCAGCAAACTTCCTCTTCCTACTTTCAGTCATAAATTTTATGGGTTTCAATGTCGGCATGCCAGATGGTCTGCCAAAATTATTTTGATTTTTTATGCTGCTGCTGTTGTTGTTGTCGTTGTTTATGCTGTTGTTTAAGTCATTAAATCTGCCTATTCTTCTAAGTTTAAGCATTTTACGTTCTACTTCAACGATGTTTAGTTGTTCATGAGGTTGTTGCTGCTGATGTTGTTGTTGTATAGCAGCAGTGTTGCTGTCGTTTAAAGAACAAAATTCAACAAAATATTCATGTTCCCTCTTCAAATGATCATTTTTCAACGTTCTAAGCTGGAATTTCAGCAGACAAACTTCGCAGACTGTGTTACTGGTGACGTCATCATCGCCATATTTAATAATTTTGTTATTTATGCCATCGACCATATGGTCATTACTCTGACGAACGCCAACATCTTTTCTTGCAATATTATTACCATCATCGAGTTTGTTCGAATTTCCATCCAATCTAAAATTCTTTACATTTCCATCATCATTATTAACATCATTATTAATAGTAATAGTAGTAGTAGTAGCTGTCGTTGTTGTAGTTGTGGCCGCAGTTGAAATAAACTTACTTGAAGAAGTTACAGTGCTATAAAAAGTAGTAGCAGTAGTAGTAGTATTAGCGGCAAGAGTCAAATTTATATTATTACTATTCCCAGTGCTAAGATTATTAACATCACCATTTAGATTACTATCATTTTTAGTAGTAGTAGTAGTTGTTGTAGTAGTAGCAGCGGTACCACTACTACTACAACCTTTATTACTGACGCTACAACTAACAACAACAGCATGACTGCGAAATGAGCCACTGCCATTCAATTGATTCCTGTGCTTTTCAAGTTCAGCTTTGTAAACAAACCACTGATTACTATTATTATTACCACTGTTGCTGATGCATATACCAGCAATTTTACTATTTTTACTCAACTTATTAGTAACTTTTTTACTTTCTGAACCTCTAGCAAACCCAGTACTAGAATTGGCACTACTACCATTAGAAGCAGTATCATTGCCAGCATCCTCAACATCCTCCATAGTAGTAGCAGTAGTAGCAGCACTAGCAGCAGCAGTAGCAACATTAGTATTAGTAGCGAAATTACTACTCGTCCATTCAAAATAGTATTCTCTGCACTTGCTAACCAGATCGTGGTTCTTGATGTGCTGCTCGAATGACGCCCCCAACACTTTCTCACACACAGGACACCTCGTTATCATACTAGACGTGTGTCCACTGCTGTTACTGCTGTTACTACCGATATTGAGATTAGCCGCTGTAGTGGTAATTGTCGTTGCTGTAGTAGCGTTGGTAGCGTGTGATGTTTTGTAGTGTTGCCTGAAGAGTTCAATCCTCTTGAAAGCTACAGGACACAGGGAGCACTTGTGGTAAACCTTCTTGTGTGCTGTGCATATGTGCTTGTCCAGGGCCTATTGGTTGTTTGGTTGGTTGATTGATTGATTGATAAATTGTGTGATTGGTTAAATAATTGATAAGTTTTAATTGGTTGATTGATTGATAAGTTGTAGATGGTTGATTGATTGATAAGTTGCGTGAATGTTTGAATAATTAATGAGTGAGCTGACAAAATACAAAAACACAAAATACATAGTTGATTGTAAGATTGATTGGTTAGTTAGCTGATTGACTGGATGATCGATTAGTTGACTGATTGGATGATTGATTGAACAAGAACAAATAAACAACTGGCATTTCGATAATTGATAATTTCAGTAAAATCACAAACTGATTCAAACTAAAATTTAAAAAAAAAAATGGAACCCCAACCTCAGTAAATTTTTTAACATCTTCACTGCTAGCACCGCCACCAAAGACGACAGCAGCCTGACTTGAACTGCTGACAGGTTTGTTGTTGTTGCTGATACTCATGGAGCTGCTAATACTGCTGTTGTCAGCGTCATTACTGTTGCCGTCATTAAAATTACCATTACCGTTGTTGTTGTTGTTTAGTACATTAGAAGAGAATTCAACATTTGCAGTTGAAGTAACGGAGGCAGAACTTGTTGAAGTGTTCTCGCCATTGGCATTGCTAAACTCACCGGAACAACTGTTGTCAACAATGAAAGCGTTGTTTCCACTGGCAATGTTGTTGTTGTTGTAAATGGTTGTGTTGTTGTTGTTGGGGATGTTGTTGTTGTTGATTTTTGTTGTGATTCTAGGGACAAAGTAGCAGAACCGACAGCCCCTGGTGACTGGGCGTCTGCAGTGATGTAGACAAACGTCTCGAACGTGCTGTAAAAACTCGTCAGCACTCTCTTGAAATTCAACACCACATTCTGGACACACCAGTCTGCACTTTTTGACGTCACCAGTGATGTTATTGGTAATGTTGCTGCCGCTCTTGTTGCTGTCTGCAATCTCATTAGCACCATAACAACCACCTACATTATTAATAATGATGTTATTACTGACATTAACATTAAAATTATTGTTGTTGTTGTTAATGCTGTTGTTTGTGATATAACTCAAGGAATGCAATCTGATGTGAGCATTGAGTGAGCAGATATTAGCTAGCACTATCTCACATATGGGACATGCATAATGAATGTAGGATGATGATGATGATGACGACGACGACGACGACGATGTTGCTGTTGCGGCTGTTGAGGGCGATGTTGTTGCTGCTGTGAAGGACGACGCTGATGATGAAGCTGATGACGACGCTGTGGTCGTTGTTAGTGGTGACGCAGAAGATGTCGCTGCTGAATGTCTATTTAAAGTTGATTCTGTACAGGCTGTAGGCAACACTTTTGTTGATGTTGTAAAAGTTGATGCTGCTGATTTCATATTTTTGGTCGTCGTCACTGCAGCATCAACAGCAACAACGTTACGACTGAGTGACTGAAAATGTTGCTTCAAAGAAAGAAGCATTGAAAATTGTAAACCACATTCTGGACACTTGAGAACAGGATTTGTAAAATTTGAAATGTTGTTGGTTGCATCCTTTGAACTGTTGCTTGTTCCTGTCGTTGCAGTTGCAGTCTGACTAGCAGCAACAACGACGACGAGATTATCATTGGAAATATTGCTTTCTTTGTCCTTGGAGACAATATTTTCAGAGCCATCTTCGTCGCTGATGTCTATACCCATCTCAAGTTCTTTTTGCTTCTTCAATATGTGGTACTCCTCTGGCAACAGATGTTCAGGCAGTGATGACACTTGATAGCTATCTATAGGTCTGTGGGTTTTTCCGGGGTTTTCACTTGTGTGTCGCTGGTAGAAAATTGTGTAGGAGCATAAGTTGTAAAATTTATGTAGTGTTGTTGTTGCTGCTGCTTTTGAGGTTGTTGCTGTTAAAGACGTTCCAAACGAGTTTGAGGAGATTGTTGTAGAAGTCTGTGACGATGTTGAAATTGTGGCAGGAAATGATGTTGCAACTGTTGTTGCGGATGATGTTGCAAGCGACGTTGCACCACCGCTAACAGCAGCAGCAGCATCGGTAGCGGTGTAGCATCCACAATCACATTCGAACGTAACTAGGAACGACTTCCTGCCAACATGATAGGCCAAGGACTTTTTTGTTGCAAACGAACAACCACAACACGCACAAAAATACTCGCCAACATCTTCAAACGACCCAAAAATATTTTTCAAGAAAGTTGGCCGCTCAATGGGTGGAGCTACGTACTTGCCAATCAAACAATTTGTTCGAATGGACTCGAAGAATGCTGCTGATGATAAAGACGACGACGAAGATGAGATTGTCGATGATGAAAGAGGTGTGAATGATGATAACGATGCTGTTATAAATGTTGATGGTGATGATGTTGCTGAAGTTGTTGAAGAGAGAGCTGCTGATGATGACAAAATGGATGACGATGTAGATGGAGAGAGGGAGGAAGACGATGACGAGAAAAATGTTTCTGGTGTAATGGTAGACGGCTTGTATGATATGGTGAACGTCCTAGATGTTTGTTGTTGTTGTTGCGATAGTTGTTGTTGTGGTTGTTGAAAATATTTTTGCTGTTGTTGTTGTTGTTCATAATGCTGAACAATATTCTTTACCTTAATTTCGTTGTTAATCCTCTTCAGAAGTTGCTTCATCTCTTGCTTCTTCCTCTCTTGTTCCAGTTGATTGTTCAACTTCTGCTTCTGCTGTTGGAGTATCTTCTGGTGTAAGATGCTTTGCTGTTGCTGCTGCATCTCAGTCAGTTTCTGCATCCTTCTTTCCATCAATTGTCGTCTCTCTTGAGACTGTTGGTACTGTCGTTGCTGCTCCACCTGTCGCATCTGATGTCGCTGCTGCTTGAGAAGTTGCTGTCGTTGCAGCAGAAGCTGTTGCTGCTGCTGCTGATGGGTTAAAATTTTTTGCTTTTCCTGCTTCGATAGAGGTCGTTTTTCAATTCTTTTCTTCTGGGCATCAGTGCTCTTGCCTTCATTGAGATGCTTTGAGATGAAAGAGTTACTCGGGAGTGGTGTTCTATCAGCCGGAGCAGCTGCTGTCGCCGCTGCTGCTAGAGATGTTGTCGGTGTTGGCGTTGTAAATGTTGATGAGAATGCAGCATACGCTATTGTCGATGTAGTTGCTGTCGTTTTTGCAATGATGGTTCTCAGCAGTTGCACGACATTAGTTGTAGTCGGTGGTGTTGGTGCTGCAAAAGATGTGGCTGCCTTCGATTTGTTTACATTCATGAACATTAATGAATTGTTGTTTGTGTTGTTGTAGCCGATTAGCTTACTTATGTCAATGTTTGGGCTGACCACGTTGTTGTTGCTGGCTGGGTTGTTGTTTGCAAAATTTTTCAAAATTCTTAAATTATTCATATAATAATCATTGCTCTTATTAGGAATGTTCATGTTGTTAGTGTTATTTTTAAAGATGACGTTGATGTTGCTGTTGTTATTGTTGGCATTAACATTTCCAATACCACCACCAACAACTACATTGTTGTTGTTGTTGCTGCTGCTGTTATTGCTGTAGGCGATGTTTTGATTTTTAATGTTGTCGCCGCTGTTGATGGCACCAGTGCGATTGTTATCCTCATCTTCACTGTTGATGTCGTTGTTCGATGATTCTGGAATTGGAGCAATGGTGATGACATTGACAGGGAGGGCATTGTCGAGGAGGAGATGCGATGGTAGGATTTGGATGTTGGACGACATGAAATTTGGTCTCAGCGAGAAGGGGATTGACTTAACCGGTAGGGCATATTGAATACCTGGTGGATGTAGTTGTGTAGTTGTAGCTGCTACAGCTGTGATTGTCGTGAATGTTGATGGGGTCGTTGTTGAATTTGTTGATGGTTTTGGAAATTTTGTCAAAGTTGATGTCGTGGCTGGAGTTTTGTAGGTAGTAGAGTGCTTGTATGTCGTTGAGGTTGTTGTTGCACGTGCAGTTCTTGCTAATGCGGCAAGCTTGTTAAGGATTCTGCTGTTAGACATTGTTGTTGTTGTTGTTGCTGCTGTTGTTGTTGGTAGAGTTGTGGTGTTTCTGGATTTGTTCTGATTCAAGTTCGTCGAAAATGTTTTTGATGCTGTTGTCGTAGCTGACGTAGATAACGGCGAAGTTAAAAATTTGGTTGTTGTTGTTGCCGATTTTGATAACCTTATAAGCCCTTTTGTTGTTAGTGATGGCGACGATGATGACGACGACATTACAGATGGCAATAAGGATGGCGTTGACGAGGGTGACGACGATGCTGAAGATGATGAGGCTGAAGATGATGACGTCGATGAAGATCTTTTTGAAGGTAAACTGCTATCATCATCGGTTATGTCAATGATGATAACTTTGTTCTTGTGACCATTCTGGGAAACTTTTTGCTGTTTTGCTCTGACGTCATCACCTTCACTGCTGACGTTGTTGTTGTTGTTGCTGCTGTTGTTGTTTACAATGGTAGTGGCAATGTTTGTGTTTAAATCATTTGCCGTGTTATTGATGTTTTGACCGTTAATGTTTTTATCGTTGTTATTTGTAATGGACCTATTGGGAGCATCATTATCATCGATAACAATGACGCTATCTTTATTGCTGTTATTAATTTTAGTATTGCTACTACTATCATTGTTGTAATTAGTGGTATTGGTGGTAGCAGCAGTAGTAGTATGACGGCGATTTACAATGTCATCAATTCCTCTTGTAACATCAACACTGTTATTGTTAGTATTTGTACTGATTCCATTACTACTACTACTACTATTATTACAACTATAATCATTATTATTATTATTATTAATGTTGTTGTTGTTGTTATTGAGTTTATTAACATAATGATGTGGTGATGAGATCTTCCTTCTGCTCTGCTTTTTAACGTTTATCACTTGCGATGATGATGACGATGTCTGTGATGATGACGATGTCTGTGATGATGACGATGTCTGTGATGATGACGATGACACCTGGGCTAAATTGGTTTCTGTGGAAAAGATAGTGGCAAGAAATTTTTCTTCCGCTGCTGCTGCTGATGATGATGTTGATGATGACGACGACGATGATGAAGATGGTAAATTGTGATTGCCATTATTAATAGTGGTATTATTATTATTAATAGTGTTATTATTATTATTATTATTATTATTATTGCAATTGTTCATATTATTATTCATCGAGTCATTGTTTTGAAAATGATCTAGAGTGAAGTTATTTTCATTCTTCTTACCATAATCGACATTATAATTATTATTATTACTATTATTAGTATTATTTATATTAATAATGTTTTTGTTGACAGTATTAGTAGTAATATTATTGTCCATATTATTATTATTATTTTCCTGTTTCTTTGAATTGGCAACAAGCTGGAGCCTAGTATGCAGCAAGCGATCTAAAGCTGAGCATTTTCTACGGGATGTTGTTGTTGTTGTTGATGATGTTGTTGTTGTTGCTGATGATGTTGTTGTTGTTGCTGATGATGTTGTTGCTGATGATGTTGTTGCTGATGATGTTGTAGTTGTTGATGATGATGTTATTGCCGTTGTGGATGTTGTTAATGTTGTTGTTGTTGCTGCTGATGTTGTAAACGTTGTTGATGTTATATTTATTGCTTGAGAAGTTGAAGACCGCACTGCTATAGTCGTTGATGTGAGGGCTGAATGTACAACAGCAGATGTCGATAAATTGCTTTTGTTGGTGTCAGCGTCAGATTCTGTCGGCAATGATGTCATCAGTTGTGACGTCATTACTGTCGATGTAATGTTTCCCTGTGATGTGGAGAGGTTGTTGGTGCTGCTGTTGACTGCTCTCTGTAGTGCATCGTCATTCATTTTTAACTTTTTTGCAACAAAATCTGATTTCTCTGCAACAATTTGTGGATGGTCTTCAACAATTTCGTTGTTTGCGGGAGTTGGCGCTGCAGTGGTAGTGAAAATGCTGTCGCCAGTCTCCAATACGTCATTGCTTGTTGAGAAATTTGTTGTTGCGGGCAACATTGTGGATGTTGTGGACAACATTGTGGATGTTGTGGGCAACTTTGTTGATGTTGTTGCTGCAACTGATGATGCCATTGGTGATAATATTTCAGACTTTAATGAGCTAGATGTCGTTGAGATTAATGATGTTTCTGTTGATGTATTAGGAGTCTGGAGAAATAGCATATACTCATTCAACATCCTTTCTCCATCTCCACCATCAAAACATCGGCCATCATCGTTGTCGTCATCACTATCACCATCATCTTCATCAATTACGTCATCGTCATCATCACTACCGTTGTTATCATTATCATCCGGTACAGCTGCAGCTCTTTCTTTACAGACAGCTTCAACAACAACAGCAGCAGCAGCAGTAGCAAGTCTATTTATAGCAGCGTGAATGTTATTATGTTTATCATCTTGCAAACCTAGAAGCTTCTTTTCATCGTCATCATCACGAGCACTATCGTTGCCATCATCCTCATCATTATCATTGTTAATGCTCGTTTTATTACACGTTGTTTGTTGGAGCGTTGTTGTTTTGGAGAGTAATGTTGTGGATGGTGTTGTTGTTGTTGATGGCGATGATGATAACGATGTTGTTGTTGATGACGATGATGAAAACGATGTAGTTGTAGACGATGATGACGATGATAGGTCTGTATTTATATTTGTTGATGTTATTGGTGTTGTTGTTTCGGCTAATTCAGATGTTCTTAAATCCATACCCAGGTAAGTGTATTTTTAACCTGGTTGAAAGATAAAAAAAATGTCGATCAATCAATCAATCAATCTCTCACTTAACCAACCAACCAGCCAATAACCAACCAGCCAATCAACCAACCAGCCAATCAAACAACCAGCCTAGCAACCAACTAAACGGCCAACCAGCTAGTAAATAGGTACAAAATAAAATGAAAATAGAATGTTCTCATTTTGAATTCATCTACTTAAATTCATTCAGTCACTCAAGTTGCTCTCATTCCAATGATAAAATGAATAAATGAATGAACCAGTCAGCCAACAAATCATTCATTCATTTCGTTTTCCTTTCTTTCATTCATTTATACATTCATTCATACATTCATTCATTCATTCTTTGTGATTTATTCTTCAATCTTTCAGTTCATTCATTCAGTCAGTAATAATACATCTTTTTAATCAATTATTCATTTTTTTACTATCACATTCATTCATTCATTCATCCGTTTATTCATCAACTTTCCCTCATTCCTTCATCCCTCGTTCATTCATTCATTCATATATTCATTCAACCATACATTCATTGACTAAATCAGAAAAGAAAGCCAATCAATCTCATGCTAATCTCAACAAGTGCCAGGTAATGATATTGTAGTTCTAAATATGGTTAGTAAACAATATTTATGATTATCACTATCAATAATTAATATTCCCACCACCACCATCATCATCATTGTTAACATCATTTTATTTGATATTTGTTGGTTGAAGACCGAATTTTTGACAATTAGTAATAAATTTCACCGATTGATTAGTGTTTATCAACTTATATTCGAATTATATATATATATATCAAAACACTCCTATAAAATCAACACAACACAAGCAACAACACTAATCACGGTATCACGACGAGCACATTAATAAAACAACATCTACAGCAGCAACAACAACAACACAACACACGTTTAGACGACATTTTCCCCGAGATCGGGGGTGATGATGGTACGGAAGGAGTTGATGTGATGGTAAGAGAAGAGTTGGTGGAGAAGGTGTGTTGGAAGTGAGGCGGGAGCAACAACAACAACATCTAAAACAACAACAACATCAACAACAACAACATCTACAACAACAATTCTTCCAGAGCATATAAGAGCCGAGTACAGTTATTGTACCAATTCATCATTCTATCTATTATATATAACCAACACACACACACACACACACACACACACATACATTAAGAGGAGATAGATATAGATATACATAAATTGAAAGATAAAGATAGAAAGAGAAAGACAGAGAGAAAGAGAGAGAGAGAGAGAGAAACAGAGAGATTCAGATAGATAACGTACGTTTGCCAGTGTGTGCGTGTGTTCGTTTGTAGGCCATGGAAAAATCAATGTTGGTTAAGCCACACTAAGAAGGTTGTTGTTGTGCAGTTGTTGTTGTATGTTTTGTTGCGGTTATTGCGGCTTTATTAGTAGTACGTTGTTGTTGTGGTTGAAGTTTTATCATATTGTTGTTATTAATATGTTGTTGCTGTTGAAGTTTGTTGTTGTTATTAGTATGTTGTTGTTGAAGTTTTATCATGTTGTTGTTATTAGCACGTTGTTGTGGGTGAAGTTTTATCATGTTGTTGTTATTATTACATCATTCTGTTATCAACATCATCATTCTCGTCAGTAACATCACCACCATCATTTGCTATCTCTTCAACCTGTATTTTGTTACCATCTTTCTATATAATCAGTTCATTTTCTTGGTACATAATTATGTGAGGAATTTTCCTTAACTTCTTATATGAATATAAGAGTAGAGAAAGATAACAGATAATGATGATGATGTTAACGATAATGATGATGATGTAGTAGATGGAGATGGCGTTGTTCACTGTTTAAGGGATGATGAATTTCGTAAGAGGATAAAGAAGACGAGCCTGGCCAATCAACTGTGAGGGCCGCGAACTCCTGAGGCATCAGATGTTGCAAATTCTTTGGATGACCATTATTATTTTCAACAAAAACCAACCAACCAGCTAACCAACCAACCAGCCAGCCAACCAACCAGCCAGCCAGCCAACCAACCAGCCGACCAACCAATCATCCAACCAACCATTCAAACAACGATGCTGAGAAAAATGAAAAAGAAGATACTGATGATAATAATGAAGATAGTACTGGTAATAATTATGATGATGATAATAATAATAATAATAATAATAACGGCTCTGATGGCCTCAATGATGACGCTGATGACAATAAGAATGATGATGTTGCTGACGATTCTGACTTTTCGAATTAGAACAATAGAAAAAAAACTTTTAACAGCCCGGATATGGTATGATAGATATTCTGTATATGTACCCTATTGTATTGGTCAGTTCGTTGTTTTAACTTTGAAAAAATACATAAATTATAAGTGACAGGATCAAGAAATCATGATAGACTCAGATAGATATGGCTAAAAAATAAGCACACAAACACATACGTATAAAGCAATATAAATATATACACAGTTACAAAATACATATACATACATTTTACATACACTTACACCTGATACATATTATACAACAACAAACTGAATGTAGAAAAGTGTATCGTTGAAAAAGTAAAATGAAATGAATGAACAAAGAAGTCTTAAGCAGTGAAGACGAGCGTTGGGATATACATTACAGATTGACTGTATGTAGGAAGATAACAGCAAAACCACAGAAAGTATATAACAGACAAGGNGTATAGTGAAAACCAACGTTAAGAAAATACAAAATTAAGTGGGAGATGATCCGACATGGAAGCAACGAGAACAGTAGGAATGAATGAAAATGAAAGGATTAGAATGGAAATAACACATACATAGGTGTCTATAAAAAAATAAACAAAGAAAGATAGAACATAAAAATAATTATGTATACATACGCAAATAGGTTTAAAATATATATGACTGTCTACAGTAACGTACATTTAGCCAAAATTTAGCTAAATTAACGAAATTGTAGTAGCGAAAAACACATTAAGACAAAAAAAAATGATAAAAAGATTAGTTAGTCAAACAATGTGATACAAATTAACTTGAGAATGCTGGGTTTAACGGAATTTTGGAACTAATAGACCGAGTGGTTGTAGGGCTGTAGGCAGTTTTCTCCAAAACTTCCATGAGGGACCATTATAATGAGGGTTAGTTCGAAGGGTAGGTATGTAAAAAGGGGGAGTGCGTCGTGAATTTTTAAGAGGAATGTTTATTAGAGGTTAGTGTTTTAAAAAAATAACAGTTTATACCTGCTAGAAGAGAAAGAATTTTTAATTATATATATATATATAATTAAAAATATATATAATATAATTATAATATAATTATAAAATAATATAACTATAATATATATATATATATATTATAGTTATATATTTATATAATCATCATCACCCAGTTACCAATATTGATAACTTTACAATCCCCATCAACGAACACCATTTAACAATCACTAATATCATCATTGCAATATAATAACCACCACCATCATCATCATTATCATCACAATGACATCACCACCATCATCACAATACCATAACCACCACTACCATCACATCACAATCACCGCAATGCCATTATCACCATCATCATCCTCCTCGTCATCATCAGACAGTAGCTACCACATCATCATCAACAACAACAGAGAAGGCAGCACACAAACAGCTTTCAATAGCAGTAGTCTTCCTAAGCCAGCTAGCTTTAGCCCTGTGTTACGGATATATATATATATACATATATTATATATATACATATATACACATAAATATATATATATAGATATACATATATACACATAAATGAATATGAATATATATATTTTGTATTATCATAACATAAAACCAGACATGAAATAAAAATTAATGAATCATAATCATGTACAGAACTATATATATATATATATATATATATATATACATATATAAATATATATATATAAACCGTATTTTTTACAGATTATATATATATAATACAGAATATAATATATATATATATATACATTTATACATATTAATATACGCATATTATGTATAAGCAATAACATATATCATATAAACATATAGTGAGTGCAAAAATGCATATTAATGAGTTAATTAAATAATTAATTAATTAACTAAACA